TGTGATAGACCGTTTAAGATGTTTTTTTGGGTTATCGGATCCCGCGGATAGCACTCGAGCTGAGCAGCGCCTTAGGGAATGTGTGCCTCCGTGTTTGAATTCCAACACTCGAGGGCATGTTCTGCTTTCGCGTTGTCTCGGCGAAGAGCACGCAAGTTCAGAGTTACGCACTCATCATGATGAGTCACGATGTCTAGGCTCTGCTCGCGTTTGTTCCTATTCCCGAGGGATGCAGGACAAAGCTTTTGTGGCTCGCGGACCGGTTCCGGAGCTATATTCAGCTCGGCAGTTCCTCTCTAATATGCATGTTATTGTGTGAGGAGAGCCTCGCTGGGCGTGAATATATTTAAATACTCTGTGGAGAGAGGCTCATTTTCATGTTTCACAGCAGCCTGTGTTGAGGTTTGAGCCAGCTAAATGGCAGTCTCTCAATTATCATACGCACATCGGTATTACAAGTTATGTGGTGATGTCATTATGAAATTATGGGAGGGGGACAATGTGACAATGTAACTCGTTTTCAAGTTAGCTGCCTAAAAATAATTTAAACTAATTTACTAGTCTATTGAGTCTAGCTCTAATTCTTCGTCATCAGTTAGGAACCTAACAATTATTATTTGATAGCAATTATATCTTTCGAAAGCCATATTTAATTTCAAGTAACATTTGTTTCGAAGTTGTGCTGCCAAAGGGGGATCCACAAGTTATGAAATTCAAGGGTTTTGACTTTACCCTGCACAATGAATGATTGCTAAATCTATACATAAAATAAATAAGAAAAAAAGAAAAAGAAAAAACAAACCACAGCCTGTTGGCTGTCTTTTTATACTCAAAATGTATTAACATGTGACAAACTATTTGAAACTGAGCTACTGAAAAATGTACAGTGGTGTGAAAAAGTTTTTGCCCCTATCCTTTTTTTTTGTGCATATTTGTCACTTGTATGATTCAGATCATCAAACACATTTTAATATTACACAAAGATAACCAGAGTAAATACAAAATGCAGTTTTGAAATAATGATTTCATTCATTAAGGGAAAAAAGCTGTCCAAACCTGCCTGGCACTACGGGAAAAAGTAATTGCCCCCTAAATCTAATAACTGGTTGTGCCACCCTTTGCAGCAACAACTGCAATCAAATGTTTGCGATATCTGGCAATGAGTCTTTCACATCGCTGTGGAGGAAATTTGGCCCACTCTTCTTTGCAGAATTGTTTTAATTCAGCCACATTGGAGGGTTTTTGAGCATGAATGGACTGTTTAAGGTCATGCCACAGCATCTAAATCGGATTTAAGTCCGGACTTTAAATTGGCCACTCCAAAACCTTAATTTTGTTTCCCCTTCTAGGGAACTCCACGCTGCGTCCCCCTAGGGGGCACATTGGGGAATGCAGCCTGTATGACCGGTGACCTTTAGCACGTGTGATACAACACCAGTCTATTGGTCTACATGGCTCATGATGTCATAGGCAGGGTGCCCGGAAGTATAAAAGGACACCTGCTGAATACGTATTCCTCTTTGCCGTCTTCAGGAGCCGTCTATTTGAAGTGCATGTGATAGACCGTTTAAGATGTTTTTTTGGGTTATCGGATCCCGCGGATAGCACTCGAGCTGAGCAGCGCCTTAGGGAATGTGTGCCTCCGTGTTTGAATTCCAACACTCGAGGGCATGTTCTGCTTTCGCGTTGTCTCGGCGAAGAGCACGCAAGTTCAGAGTTACGCACTCATCATGATGAGTCACGATGTCTAGGCTCTGCTCGCGTTTGTTCCTATTCCCGAGGGATGCAGGACAAAGCTTTTGTGGCTCGCGGACCGGTTCCGGAGCTATATTCAGCTCGGCAGTTCCTCTCTAATATGCATGTTATTGTGTGAGGAGAGCCTCGCTGGGCGTGAATATATTTAAATACTCTGTGGAGAGAGGCTTGCGAGCTTTCTCTCCCAAGGTGTTTCAGCACCTAGAGTGGTTATGGGGAATGTCTCTTCCTGTGTTAAGCCAGAGTGTAGCCATCTGCGGATGGTTATGCTCCAGCTCAAGCTTACTTTGCTCTGGAATATGGTGGTCTGAGGGCAGCTATGTTCTAGCCTAGCTTCTATAACCAGGTTGGATTCCCCTGGCACAAGTTCTTGAGTAAGCGCTGAAGTCTTTGTCTAGGAATCTGATATTCTAGGATAGCTTTGTTCCAGCTTGGAGACTGCTCCCCTTTTAGGGTTTTAAATTGTGGTCTCCGTGAGCCCCTTGCCTGGACTGTGCTGTCTCCCCTTTGGGGTTTTAAGTAGATGGCCCACTTCCGTGGTCTGGGCAATCTTCAGCCTCATCTGAGGGAACTGGTATTTGAGGATAGCTGTGTCCAGCCCTCTAGTGCTATGGCCACTGCTTGCATCAGGCTTTGATCTCAGATTAATGATGCTTATGTGTTCGCTCCTTAGCGAATCATTTACTAATGGTCCGGATCTCCCTCTTGTGAGCTCCTGGTCAATAGCACGGTGCTTTGCTAGCCTACTGTGGGACTGACATGGATTGGGGACTTCCTTAGTATATCAATCTGAGGGTGGTTATATTTCAGTCATTGTTATGGCAGGATGGGCTTACTTGAATACAGCTATATGAGGCTAGCTGTGTTTTACTGGCAGTGCAGTAAGCCCTCTCCTGGAGTGGTCCCCTTTCCTAGAGCCTTGATATCTGAGGATAGCTATGTGCTAGCTCAGTTATTGCTCCCCTGCTTATGGTTAAGTAGCGGTCTCTTGAGCCCTTACCTAGACAGTGCTGTCTCCCCTCTTTGGGTTGTAAGTCGACAGTCCACTCTTTGTGGTCTGGGTAGTTTCAGTCAGTCCCCCTTCCGGTAGCCCTTCCTGGGTACATAGCTATTTTCTGATAGAGTTCAGAATTCATGGTTCCATCAATTATGGCAAGTCATCCAGGTCCTGAAGGTGCAAAGCATCTCCAGACCATCACACTACCACCCCCATGTTTGACTGTTGGTATGATGTTCTTTTTATGAAATGCAGTGTTGGTTTTACGCCAGATGTAACGGGACACACACCTTCCAAAAAGTTCAACTTTTGTCGCATCAGTCCACAGAATATTTTCCCAAAAGCCTTGGGGATAATCAAGATGTTTCTTGGCAAATGTGAGACGAGGCTTTGTGTTATTTTTGGTCAGCAATGGCTTTTGCCTGGGAACTCTCCCATGGATGCTGTTTTTGTCCAGTCTCTATCCTATTGTTGAATCATGAACACTGACCTTAATTGAGGCAAGTGAGGCCTGCAGTTCTTTAGATGTTGTTCTGGGTTCTTTTATGACCTCCTGGATGAGTCGTCGTTGTGCTCTTGGAGTAATTTTGGTTGGCCAGACGATCCTGGAAAGGTTCACCACTGCTCCAAGTTTTCTCCATTTGTGGATAATGGCTCTGACCGTGGTTCGCTGGAGTCCCAAAGCCTTAGAAATGGCTTTATAATCCTTTCCAGACTGATACATGTCAACTATTTTGTTTCTCATCTGTTCTTGAATTTCTTTAGATTGCGGCATGATGTGTTGCTCTTTAAGCATGCTTCACTTTGTCAGACAGGTTCTATTCAAGAGATTTCTTGACTCAACAGGTCTGGCAGTAATCAGGCCTGGGTGTGGCTAGTCAAATATAACTCAGCTTTCTAAAATAATGTGGTTACTCACAGTTCTTTCATGATTTAACAGGCGGGGGCAATTACTTTTTCACGTAGGGCCAGTTAGGTTTGGACAGCTTTTTTCCCTTAATAAATGAAATCATCATTTAAAAACTGCCTTTTGTATTTACTTGCATTATCGTTGTGTAATATTAAAATTAGTTTGATCTGAATCTTTTAAGTGTGACAAATATGCAAACCTTTTTACAGCACTGTAGCTACTTACTTCTGAATATTATTTTTAATACTCAGTTATATCATAACATGAGTACTTAAAGAGCATGTGACTTGAATTAGTTTAAAATCTCTACAAATATTGAGATATAGAGCAGCGTTCCCAACCATTGAAGGCCCCCTTCCTAAATATAAGAAAACCTGCTTAATGTTGGTGGAATTTTATTGTTTGTATTTTATATTTAAACAAATCAATGTACAATATCAACAAATCGTACATAAATTATTATAAATTGTTTGCCTTTTTTGGAAATACAGTCTCAATAATTGGGTTTTTGTGCTGACGTTTTCCCTGAGGTAGATTGCAGAATTTATTTAGAGTAGTTTATTATTATTCACATTGTCCACTTTTGTAAAAATTCATAATGCTGCTAGTAAAATGCACAAGCCACTGGCCAAAGGCTTCCACTTGGTTATGGTTTAGGTGAAAAACCGAACTTAAAAATGTAATCCTCAAGACAAATTTTCAGCCGACTAAAAAAAAGAAAAAAAAAAGCATTACTTTTCTAGGCTTTGCGACAGGTGTGCATTATATGTTTGTTGATGCTTTGAATCTTTCACCACTACAATCAGGGGAAAGAATCAGTTTCATGGGTCTTCATTTCCCCTGAAGGTCACACAGGTGTCCTAGTAGAATGTGACCTTCTGAACAATATATGCATTGCTTCATATTATGTAACCTGAATTGATTTGGGTGAAATGTTTGCTTGCTATATTGCCCATATATTTTTTTATGTGACTTGTTTTTGTTTTTTTTACATAATTCAAATACTTTTATACATGTTTAATATTAAGTGTCAAATAATTGAATACATAGCCCCAAACAGGCGATGCTGACTAATGTCTAGTTTTGTTAGTACAAAAGGTGAGAAAAAACTAAGTGCAAAAGACCTTAAAACAAGTTGAGTGGATTAAATGCAAGAGATCCAGGCAGATAAAACTACAACAGGCAAAGGTTTTAGTCAAATTGAGAGTGAAAGTAATAACTGTAATGCAGTATTTTCAGATGTATGGTGAACAGAGATTGATGACAGTGACAGCTTTGTTAATCTAAGGGGTCAAAATAAAAAAAAATTATAAAACACTAAGCAACAATTTACTCTGGTTTATTGTAATAACATTTATAGTAAAAATATTTTTAATACATTTTGTACACAATGTTGCCTTGGATCTTTACTTTGGAAAGGCATGAACAAAAAAGTCAAACCATAAAGTAAATGGAGGCTGTACACGGATGCTTAAAGATGTTTAACTTCATGTGAAATGCAGTTTAAGAAGCAAACAGGTGCATCTGCAAGTGCAACTGGTAACTTCCTCCAAAAGAGAAGCCAACGCCGCTGCAGATCTGAGCACAGGTCAGCGGTACCACAGGCCTTCACAGTCCTTTATGTGAATTTACAAATCAACGGAAATTATTGCTCATTAAATGTGGTGCAACATATCAATCCAATCAGCTGACAAAAAGGGCCTTAAAAGCGCTTTCTTGTAAAATGAAACCGATGCAATGGCTAACAAAACTACCATTCAAAAAGCAAAAATGGATGAACTAAACGTCTAAGCAACTAGATTTTCAGATGTTTAGATGAAATCAAACTCGAGGAGTGCTGGGCAGGTCAAAGGTGGAGAGCATACATACATCCAGACGTTCATATCTGCGCATGCAAACAGTGTATCGGAGCTACCCAGAACCCCTCTCGACAGCGGTCAAACAACACAAAACACGCTAATGTATGAATGCAACACGGGTGCACATGTGCCAAGTGTTGAAAGGATGCCACCCTCTCGAAATCCATCAGTACATGTTCTTTCAAAATGATCCGATATTCAAAGAGGGCAACGCTGTAGAAAGAACTTTACCAAAAACAAACATCAGACAAATTACATTCGTTTCATATGAGATGTCCTTATATAAAACTATGTTTGTTTACAATTTTCCTGCAGGTGCGTAGATGTCATGTTTGGGGCAGCGTGCACATGGACCATCCAACACCACGACCTGACACTCATCAGCTGCTGCCCTCCTGTGACATTTCTCTCAGATCTTCTCACTGAGCACTTGAGGATCACTCGTTCAGGGAGAGGATGATGTCATCTTCCAGGTCGGAGTTATCGGAGCTGTCTGCTACAGGAAGAACAACAGCGTTTCAGAAAAATGAAAGCCGCAAGAAAATGAATGACAGTAATGAAAGAAAAGCAGCAAAAACTTCACGTCAGCGCACTAACAGTAGCCGTCAACAATACTGGTTGATCGATACATCACATATGACTTTAATCACCAGCAACGAAGATTAGTTTTTCTGTTTAGATGATATAAGTGCGGTCACATTAGCGAAATTTCAGCGACATCGGACATGCAAACATGCCTATTGCTCAGTCACTAGTGTGGAGATGAATAAAGAACAGCTCACACAGAAGTCATTTAAAATCACATGACCACAATCTGCGTGGTGTAAAATAACTCCTACTGGAATGACTTTGATGGTGCAGTCACAAAAATGTATGAACTAAGTGTGGAAAGCAGAGTTTTTATTTTGAGGCCACTGAGCATCGTTGCAGTGAAACCCTGGAAGTCCTAGGTTTCAAGCTCCCTTTCTCCCTCTCCATTAGTCTTTTTACCACTCTCCCCGCCATTGATGGCATTTTTATGGCTTTGTGTTTTCATTGGCATTTAATTTCGCACAAGCTCTGTTCATTCTTTTGATTTATTGCACGTTCAGATATTCATACATCAGCATTTTTGATCATTTTCACAAAACTTTCATGGCTCACAGAATATTTTGATGACAACTTTTTAAAAAGAGTTAACGGTCCTGTTTAATAAGAAAAGGCAAGCATTATAATATACAGTTGGTATACAATAAACACACAGTTGTCATTTAAACAAGCCTTTGAATAAAAAAAAATAATAATTAATGGACATGCCTGAGAGAGCAACTTTAAATCATGTATATTCAAACTGGCTGTGTCATAATTCAGCATGTACTGTATATATTATTAGTGATTATTCATACATCAGCATTTTTGATCATTTTCACAAAACTTTCATGGCTCACAGAATATTTTGATGACAACTTTTTAAAAAGAGTTAACGGTCCTGTTTAATAAGAAAAGGCAAGCATTATAATATACAGTTGGTATACAATAAACACACAGTTATGTCATTTAAACAAGCCTTTGAATAAAAAAAAATAATAATTAATGGACATGCCTGAGAGAGCAACTTTAAATCATGTATATTCAAACTGGCTGTGTCATAATTCAGCATGTACTGTATATATTATTAGTGACAGCTAGTCTTCATTTGAGAAAATGTGATTTCCAGTGGCTTGCTTAATTAGATAATTAAGGTCACACCAAGTTGTTTATAAGTTACTGGTGCTAAATCCTATATTGATGCATACATAATTGTAACACTCAATTCTTAATAAAAATATTAATTTATAATTTAAATACACTTGCACAGGAGACACCATGAGCTCAAGTAGGGAGCCGGCAGCTCTCACCTCTCTCACCCCAAGATTACATACATCTCTCATTAACAAGGCAATGTTCCTGTTTTATAAAGCATGACACTTTTCTCCAGTATTGTTTGTTATTTTTTCATTTAGCTTCTTTTGAGCTCACATGTGTGTGATATAGAAATCAAAGGTTTTGCATGGGGTTTCTGCAGTGAGCAGCATGTCTGTGTGTGTGTGTGTGTGAGAGAGTGAGTGTGAGTGAGTGAGAAAGTGTGTGTGTGTGCGCGCGCCACAGGAGACACCATGAGCTCAAGTAGGGAGCCGGCAGCTCTCACCTCTCTCACCCCAAGATTACATACATCTCTCATTAACAAGGCAATGTTCCCGTTTTATAAAGCATGACACTTTTCTCCAGTATTGTTTGTTATTTTTTCATTTAGCTTCTTTTGAGCTCACATGTGTGTGATATAGAAATCAAAGGTTTTGCATGGGGTTTCTGCAGTGAGCAGCATGTCTGTGTGTGTGTGTGTGTGTGAGAGAGTGAGTGTGAGTGAGTGAGAAAGTGTGTGTGTGTGCGCGCGTGAGTGAGAGAGTGTGAGTGCGTGTGCGTGCATGTCGTCACTCACTGTTATCTAGTACAAGCTCCACATCTCGCTCATTGTCATCAGAATCCTCATCATCGTCATCATCTTCGTCGTCATCGTCATCGTCATCATCATCATCATCCGCCTCTTCATCCAGCAGGCGAGCCACTTCCTCATCATCAGACGGAGAAAAATCCTGCTCGCCATCCTCCTCATCTTCCTCGCCGTTGTTCTCGTTCTCCAGCTCTGCCAGCAGCGGGTCGGTATCGATGTCATCCATGTCATCATCGGAGTCATCGTCATCCTCTTCATCCTGATCATCCTCCTCCTGAATGAAACAAACGTCTTAAGATCAAGTTTAAAGTGAGCAGCCTCACTGATGTAAGAAGAGCAGATCCTCTTATTCCCGATTTCCAGAAAAACTTTAAACCGGTCAAACTGTTGCAGCTCTGTGTAGCACCTGCTGCTCTGCATAAGCTTCTGAACAACAACCTCAATATAGTCGGATCTTAAGTTTGAGTGGTACGATGCAGTGCATTTCACAAGCAGAAGTGGCATTTTTTGTAGACATTGCAAATTTTCATTTTAAATTCTCTAAAAAGAATGGTGAAGGTGGTCAAAAACTAAAATGAACATCAAGTCTATCATTGCATACTTAGTTGGTACTATATATAGAATACAGAATATACATACATAAAAAAATGTTTTAATTGATCACTCAAATGTGGTGATGAAACGCTTATAATGACGTGACAAAGACATGTAATGGAGGCAGGGCATTTAACAATAAATTGTATTATCCAAAATGAGTCTGACATCAGTGCACTGAACAGTAAAGTTGAAGTTTATTCAACTATTTCCATTCAACTTTATTTCACTTCGGAACATTCATTCACAGATTTGCGCTAATGTCTTCACACACACAGACGAAACTTACTAGAGAAGTGTGAAATAATATACCTCTGTAAATAAATACACATTTAAATTAATGTCTCGCGCACTTTAATGCCCTTTGAATGTAACGTGTACGTTCCCTTGGAACTGGAATCATGGTGGAATTTCATGTGAAGTCCACTTCGCAGGGCACTTATGGTCGAATAAGACAACGCGTGAATGCTGCTGCCTGAACAAGAGACCTCCTTACTGAAGTGAAAGTGTTGGCTGGTGTCACTATCTCGTGAACGCGGCGGCGGATCTCCACCAAATTCAGGGGATCCCTTCAGCTCCAGGAGCCCTCTCGAACGCCACCCTCTGTGCGTCAGTAGCCCCCCGGTCAACCAGATCGGTCGGCACCCGACCTCGAATTTAACCGCCCATACTTCCCGGACCCCAGGGGCTATCGACGCGAGGGTGGTCTCATTCGAAAGGGGGCCTCAAGACGAACACTCAATTCGGCATCGAGTTGAAAGGATCCCCGAATTTGGTGCGGATTCGCAGCGCCGTTACGGAGATATGACCGTCCAAAGTTTCAATGGTATTCCATACACTTAAGCTTTAAAGCGTTTCATCCAGGTCACCAGTAGCAAACAATGGAGTGCGCTCTGCTGGACAAACCATGTAATTACTTCATTTCCAAGCATTTTATCTGCGCTTTATGTTCTGTAAAAAAAAATTCATATCGGTGGCATATTCGCCGATACCGATATATCTGCGACAGGCTCATATCGGCCGATAAAATCTGCAAAACGATATATCGGTCGGGCTCTACCACTGATAGCGAAGGTCAATACATTCTCTTATTACATGTTAACTATTTAGGCTGCACTGCAATGACTGGTCAAAAGCTTCCACAGCTAATAGTTAAAATAGTTTTGATATCACACAATTAATGAGTTCGTAATTCAGTTTTCTACACAGAAACGGTTAAAACATAAATGATGTGGTTTGCATCAGTCTCACCTGATCTTCCTCATCCTCTTCCTCCTCAGCTAGTCTCTGGCGACCGACTTCATACAGCCGACACACAGTGTCCATATTTATTGAATCCTGATTCTGTTACACACATTCATACATAATACACACAGAGTTTTGGTGTACAAGATTAAAAATGATGTGGTTTGCATCAGTCTCACCTGATCTTCCTCATCCTCTTCCTCCTCAGCTAGTCTCTGGCGACCGACTTCATACAGCCGACACACAGTGTCCATATTTATTGAATCCTGATTCTGTTACACACATTCACACAACACACAGAGTTTTGGTGTACAAGATGAATGTGTGTGACCCTGGAGCACAGAAGCAGTCATAAGTAGCACAGGTATATTTGTAGCAAATGCCAACAATACATTGTATGGGTCAAAATTATACATTTTTCTTTTATGCCAAAAATCATTAGGATACTAAAGTCCAAGTTAATATTACTTTACTTTATTTCATGTTCCATGGAGGTATTTTGTAAATTTACTACCGTTAATATATCAAAACTCAATTTTTGATTAGTAATATGCATTGCTAAGAACTTCATTTGGACAACTTTAAAGATGATTTTCTCAATATTTAGATTTTTTTTGCACCCTCAGATGCCAGATTTTCAAATAATTGTATCTCAGCCAAATATTGTCAATTTAAAAAAATTGACCCTTATGACATGGATGCAGTGTTCAAATAAAAGTAGAATCGTAGCCCAAAACTCAATTTTTGATTAGTAATATGCATTGCTAAGAACTTCATTTGGACAACTTTAAAGATGATTTTCTCAATATTTAGATTTTTTTTGCACCCTCAGATGCCAGATTTTCAAATAATTGTATCTCAGCCAAATATTGTCAATTTAAAAAAATTGACCCTTATGACTGGTTTTGTGGTCCAGGGTCACATATGACATGGATGCAGTGTTCAAATAAAAGTAGAATCGTAGCTTTGTAGAATTTAGTACTGTAAAGATATTTACATTTTTTATTCAATGTTGTTAAACTGAACACGAAAAAAAAAAATTTAAGTACAAAGTCCCAGAGTGGAGGTATTATTGGCATAACACAATAACTAGCTAACCAAATAAATAATGAAAAAAAGAAAAACACCATACCTCAATGACGGCAAGATAGCAGTCTTTAGTGTCTGTGCACAGGTCAAAAATGTTCCTCTTCACATCAATGGTGGCTGAGAAAGCAAACAGACCATCATCAAAATCTCCCATCTTACAAAAATCTTAACAAAAACCTTGTTACAGAGACATTTTAGGTCATTTTCAAAGCATGTGCCATGCTACTAATCAAACCATTTTAAATTTGTCTCTCCATTGTAAAGACAAATGTCTAATTCCTTTACAAGTGCATATCTTACAAGATGCATCTGTCTGCTTAATTGTTAGTTACAGAAATACATATTTTGACAGACAGCGAAATCAAACATTCTCTGCAACTTTTACACAAGCTGAATATATATGAACTGAGATGGAGAGAAGAGAGAATGAAGATAGAGTCATACCGATGGGTTTATAATCAGTGGCATCAAAGGTCCTGAAGGACGATCCGAATGGACTCTTCATCTGCTGCTCCATCATGTCATCCTCATCGTCAGCCTGCAACATGGCTACAACACACTCCAGAACATCAGCAAAATGTCATGGCATCGACATGCAACGGACATCTCATCCGAAGCAAGAGAGCACGCAATTTACAGAATAAATCACAGATTCAACCATGCAGAGAGCAGGGCATTAAAAGTCAGATCCGCAGCATCATCACAACACCTGGCAGGATCTTGAGCTGCCTCAAGAGGTGACCAAGAACTGATGCTCTGGTTGAGCTCAAGAGATCTTATTTGGAGCTGGGAAGAACAACAGTCTCTGAAACACTCCACCGATCCGGGCCGTCACAAAGTGGGCCGACGGAAGACTCTCCCTCAGTGCAAGACACGTGAAACGCTGCTTGCAATGTGCAAAAAACAACCTAAATGACTCTCAGACTGTGAGAAACAAGATTCTCCAGTCCGATGAAAGGGAGTATGAACTGTTTAACCAACAAGTGTCATGCCTGGAGGAAACCAGGGGTACTGGTCATCGTAGAGGGAAAGCCGAACATAGCAAATTACAAAGATATTGCTAACGAAAAGCTAATCCAGAGTGCTCAGACTGGGCTGAAAGTTTGCCTTCCAACAGGACAATCACCCTGAGAAAGACAAGACAATACTGGAGTGGCTTGGGGACGACTCTGAATGTCCTTGAGCCAGACTCGAACCAAAACAAGCATCTCTAGAAAGATCTGACAATGTCCACCGAAGGTCCCCATCCAACCTGACAAGGGTTTTAGATGATCTGCAGAGACCAATGGCAGAAAAATCCTGAGCGCGTGTGAGCGAGTGAGTGAGAGCGCGCATGCGCGAGTGAGTGTGCGAGTGAGAGAGTGTGTGTGCGTGCGTGTGTGACTGAGTGAGTGCGCGTGCGTGTGTGACTGAGTGAGTGCGCGTGCGTGCGAGAGAGAGTGAGTGAGTGCATGAGTGTGTGTGCATGCGTGTGTGATTGAGTGAGTGAGTGAGTGCATGTGTGTGATTGAGTGAGTGAGTGCGCGAGAGAGAGAGAGAGAGAGAGAGAGAGAGAGAGTGCATGAGTGTGTGTGTGTGTGTGTGTGTGTGACTGAGTGAGTGCGCGTGCGTGTGTGACTGAGTGAGTGCGCGTGCGTGTGTGACTGAGTGAGTGCGCGTGCGTGTGTGACTGAGTGAGTGCGCGTGCGTGTGTGACTGAGTGAGTGCGCGTGCGTGTGTGACTGAGTGAGTGCGCGTGCGTGTGTGACTGAGTGAGTGCGTGTGTGTGTGTGACTGAGTGAGTGCGTGCGAGAGAGAGAGAGTGAGTGAGTGCATGAGTGTGTGTGCATGCGTGTGTGATTGAGTGAGTGAGTGAGTGCATGTGTGTGATTGAGTGAGTGAGTGCGAGAGAGAGAGAGAGAGAGAGAGAGTGCATGAGTGTGTGATTGAGTGAGTGAGTGCGTGTGTGTGTGTGAGAGTGAGTGAGTGAGTGCGCGAGAGAGAGAGAGCGTGTGTGTGTGTGAGAGTGAGTGAGTGAGTGCGTGTGTGTGATTGAGTGAGTGAGTGAGTGAGTGCGAGAGAGAGAGAGAGAGAGCGCGTCTCTCACCTCCATAAATGACAGTTCCATTGTTGTTGAAGACAATCCGACACTGATCTAGCGCTGGTACTGTGTGAAGAAGATGAAACGTCCTCAAATCCCACTGGAGCGTGAGTTAAAGCAAACCGCTTCAGAAACAATGCAGCAAGAAGAGGTTCACCCTTTAAAGAGGTCTCATTAACACATCATCCAAGTAACACCCTAGCACCCTTTTGTACAATAATTAATGAACTATTGTTTATCAAGTAATTACCAAATTAACTAAAATCTCATTAACAACAACAGAAGAATCAGAAACAAACATCATCATCATCAAATAACAAGCCACAGCCAGTGGTTCGCCGAGCAGAAAAGGATACAATCTCCGTGTTGATGATGACCTCTAAACCATTGGGATGGAAAACGCCGCTGATGTTCATGTTGAACTTGTCAAACTTATGGATGGCCTGAGCGGTGCGGACGTCCCACATGACACCGTCGTTCAGGACCAGGTCATCCGTGGGGTTAAACGTGGCACAGTTGCGCTTGTAGTTGTTGGCTAGGTCAGGGTTATTGAGGGTCAGGAGTTTCTGTCCAGACTGAATGTCATATATCTGCAGAAATACACAAAGATGCATGACAACAGGCTGGAACATAATTATTATACACAGCTGAGGTCAAAGAGTTACATCCACCATGCAGAATCCACAAAACGTTAACAATCATAAAAGGATCATAAAAACTGCATGTTGCATGTTATTTAACACATTGATATGCTGATATTCTAAATCGGAAGGTCAGTGGAAAACAAAGACAAAACGGAGTAAAAGGGTGACTTGCGTGTGCGATGTGTTCTTTTGTTCCTATGACTCTGTCCTGAGAGAGTTTGCTGAACTCCACATAATGATCATCCAGGAATGAATGCCTAGAAAAAAAAGGGGTGATCAATAATCAAAAAATGAAAAATAATAATTTCAAGTTTTTAACAATTAGTTAGCCGCTTATGGGCATGCTGACTCACTTCATGATGAATACGGACTTCATACCCCACAGCGCAGATAAAGGATAACTCCAGGAAGCTGAAGTCAACAACAGGGAACCGTCCTGACACAGAAAATATATCAGCATCTACCGTAAAAACGCATTTACACAGCAACTACAACTGCAAACTTTGATACTAATGGCTGATGTGGGTCAGAGCAGCTTTTATGCAGAATTACGTCCTACGAAGAGGAAAAACACCATCAGATGTGCATGAATCACTTGAACTGCCAAAGCATTCAGTGTATCAAGCTCTGCCTTACTGGACCATGCCAACCAAATACCAATATATACTGCAATTACAGGCCAACTATATAACCACAAAACTCGCATGCAACAACAGGCAGAATCTATCATAGCCAGGGTACTACTTGAAAGGTGTTAAAGCACAACTAAAAGCACACTGGTTAGTATAACTTTTTGAAAGTTGGATTTGTTACAATGTAAAAAAGTAGCCCGAACAAAGAATTTTTAGTAGAAGTCAAGTTTCATTTTTCGTGTGAACTGAACAAAAATACTCTAAACATGTCGAAAGCAAAAGTTGTTTTGTTTACCTTACTAAGATACTCAAGTATTTTGTTCACAACATATCCAAATGTTCTCCCAACTTTTAAAATAGTCATCTGCATAAATGTTTGCCTTTAGTTTAAAGAGGCCAATACTACCCATATTATGTAGAAGGATTTGAAAAACATCATTCTAAAGGTAAGATTAGCATTATAAAATGTTAAAAAATATTTTTTCTTCTTTTAACACTCAGTAGACTGACTTTTCATTAGATGAACTAAAGTTTTTAAGTTGCGATAGGTTGCCTTTTTTTTTTTTTTTTGAGTTTGGTCAACCTTTTTTTTGTACAGTGCATGTTGTTGTATTAGAGCCCTGGGCCGAGAAAGTTGAAGAACTCGAGATGCATGAGTGAGTGAGTGTGTGTTTACTCTGGAGGGCTCCAGGTGTGTGATGGCTGAGCTGTGGCAGCTGTAGCTGGCTTCCTCCTGTCCACTGAACACATTGTAGAGTTTGAGCTGTCCGGTGCATGTGCCCAACATCAGGAAACGCTCTCGCGCTGAGAACGCACAACACATGAAGCCACTCTCATCCTCCTCAGCCTCCCTGAACACAGAGATGGGCCGAAACCTGCACACATGGTCACAAACAGCACTCGATTAGCAAGATGAAACTCAAGATGGCGAAAAAGAGCTTAACTCATTAATAATGACAACAACATTAACAAACAATACAGATAGGACTACAGATAGGACCGTGCCGGCTACTGACTAGAGATGTAACGGTATGAAAATTTCTTATCACGATTACAGTGAACAAAATTATCACGGTATTGTTTAAATGTGCTGGAAATGTTAAACCGGTACCGACACAATCGTTTCACCAAGCTTTATATTTAAAAATCAACAAACAACAAATAAAATGATTAAAACAAACAAACCAAAAAAAAAAAAAACTATCAATGTACGGATTTTAGATGACAACATGACTGACAAAAGTTAATCTAATAACATGTAGGAAATGTTCCAATAAAACTTTGAAAAGGTTTCATAAAATGGTAAACCTCACATTTCAGCCTTTAAAGAAAAGGGTTAAGTCACAATGATAACTGATTAATAAATGATTATACGCATTTTATCCGAATTGTTTAAATGTGTAGAATCCACATTAGCTTGTTTTTCATCATCCGGTCAGAATTTACAGCAGGGCGTGTAAATCTGGTCTGTATTTAGTCCAGACGGAAACTGTACACAGACTGAATGCGAGTCTCTGTAGATCCACTCTCTGACAGCAGGTGGCGCTGATGGAGCAGCAGAATTACAGCTGTTCCCAGTTAACCAGCATTGTGATTAAAACACTACTTTATTAGGTATTACATGGAGCGAAGATGAAAACAAAATGCCATCAAATCTTTTCTGAAGACAGTCAGAACCTTCAGAGGTACATTCATATAATTAATTTATATATTCAGTTGTATAATTCGCTTAGCACTCTTACAAAACCTTGCAGCTTTACGCCATGTTTTCACACAAAACGCAACTACTCTGAGTGCTGTGCACATGTGAGACTGTTACTTAAAACTGTGCTGGATAGTATTTATTAATCCAGAGTTGTTCAAATCACAGTAAGCGAATACGGTTTTAATGGGTTTACTTAATATATGAACTTTACAGGTTTACTTAAAATATGAAACGTTAATACTAACCGTGGGGACTTTTATCATGATTTATCGCCAAACCGGTAATCGTTACTTCTCTACTACTGACCGACTCATATTTTCATATCTGATCAAAGCATCAGTGTGATCAGTGTAACTGTACCTGCTGAAGATGAGATGCCGGTCAAAACAGCCTCCATCAACCCCACCGTATTTGGGGTAGACGACCCTGCGTGTGTGGCGAGGAGTGAAATTGGTGGGTGCCTGGCGTCTCTGCTTGGACTCTGGGCACTGGTGCGGTGTGAAGAGGCTGAAGGGAGGACATGTGGTCACTGGGTTCTTGCAGCGGGCGTGCTGCTCTCGTAAATACTCTGTTATGATACTGGAAATGAGAACACATGACACCATTATGCATGATACATTAACACCAAACTCAACTGCCAAAATATGTTTGTCCCCCCAAAACTTCATTTAAATGTGGAAAATCTTCAGAAGGATATGGAAAGCAGCAAGTGCTACAAAAGCAAGTAACCACACATGGTTTGACAGATTTTACACATTGCTTCCAGTGTTCAGAAATAGTGCCTACTTCCACAGTGTCATCTAATAATTACTTTTATGCAAGCTCAACAAATTTTATTGGATAGAGTCACTGTCCAGTAACATACAACTGACAGAAAAAGCAGTGGGTTAGTATCAACAGAATAGAAAAAAAAAAAACGGTTTACCATATTTGATGTGCTCTATGCATGCATGTTGATCAATGTTTACTATATAATAAAAAAGCCTAAATTAAACCCATTCCTTGTGTAAAGTGATCTTATTTTTTCAGAAGACCTGGATCAAAATGCGATCATATCAACTTTTTGTTGTGTGAACATTTTGGTAGTGTGGACTTTCAATGGAGGAACAAAACTGCAAAAATATTAAAAACGTCTTCAATTGTGTTTCGAAGAAAACAATGACGATTTTCATTTTTGGGAGAACCTTTTGTTTAAGACTAACAGTATCTATTCTCAAAGTAGCTGATTACCAACAAGGGCAGTCATGTGTTCGCGCAACTCATGAGGCATTTTTGCAACAACAACTTTTTTGCAGCATGGAGGAACTTTCTAGTTCAAAGAGTTACAGCATGCTTTCACAGTACAATGCAGACTTCATAACTTGACATGGGCTTAAAAACTTGGGTATGAAACGACAGTCTGAATGAAGGGAGGCACACCTGTCTAGAGTTGGTGGAGAGGGCAGATGTCTGTCCAGCTGCTTTTTCATGGCCGGACTCTGGCTGAAAGCACCATGATCAGATTTCTGCCGCAACACTTTTGGCCTCTTCCCTCCTGCAGCTGAACACGGTGACGGCCGCTCCCGTGAGAACACGATGCGTCCGATAAGCGGAGAGCCATTACTGTGGAGGGAGACTGCAGGCGGTGGAGGGGGCGGAGCCTGTGAGGTGGAGGGGCGGGGCTGGTGATGAGGAAGCGCGTGGGGGGTGTGGCCACCCAGACGGGCCGCGACTCCGTTAGTGAGCCGAGGAGTCCGTGGGATGCCAGCGGCGGGAGAAGGAGGCGTCGCGACAGAAACGGGAGTGAACGGCGGCACGCTAGATGCCTGTAGCTTCCTAATAACCGTTCAGACCTTGATTAGCTTGTTCAGGTGTGTTTGATTAGGGTTGAAGCAAAACTCTGCAGGGCTGCGGCTCGCCAGGACCAACGTTCGCCACCCCTGGCCTAGGGTTAAGTGGTGTGAACCCCTTTCAAACTGACGTGAAACACTGCTTCAGTTACGCTGTGCTTCGGTTAAGCACAGCGTGAAAAGTTTCCCTCAAATGTCTATGCCATTAAACTAGACATGTTCCTTTTCAGGGAGACTGTTAATGGTTAAACTAACTCCTGCTATATATTTTAGAACATAAGTGCATGAAGATGGGCTTGTTTAAGTAGAAGCAACACTGTCCATGTGTTTTTCCAAGTGCATTATCATCAGAACAGCAGATTCTCACCAACAGTGGAGATGGTGGAGCCATTCTCATCCAGCACAGCGACGTTCTCCGACAACAGCAGCTGCGTTTTAGGAATGACTGTCAAAATGCTCAAGATATCCAAAGCGTACCTCACGGTGTCAGCCCTGAAACACACATTCACCAGAAAAAAAACTTGCATTTAGTAATGATTTAAATGTTTTAAAAAAAGGTTAAAATCACGTACACAAGTATCACAAGAATATTTCAGCATGGGGCGGGCGATATAACGGAATTTCACATTATCAGTTCTATAACGATTAAGCGTTCCCAACAAAAAGTGCTGTGCATGAAAACAAAAACAACAAGCCTTTGAGACATCTTAATTAGGTAAATCGAAATTAATTAAATGGCACATTTTTTTCTCAAATTAATAGCAATTATTCCCACCTAACATTACAGTTTTTAAATATACTTTTACATTGCATTTCACATTCAATCTTCAAATTAATGTAGAAATAAACACTATATATTATATATATATATATATATATTGAAGGCGAGTATCACTGATACTAAAACTACTGATGTCTCTCGGAAATTTCTTTTTTTCCTAATATTTAACCATTGACTATAGCCATTCAACATTACAGTATAAATGAGAGCTATCAATTTTTACATTTATTAGACTTTAAAAAAATAACTAATTTAAGTGAACTACAAACAATCTTCACATAAACCCATTATAATAAATGTCATATTTGCCTGTGCCCTTCAGCAAGTAGGAAATAGACAGAAATTGAATAAAGTTATCAAACACTAAATTCTAAATTAAATATATATGAATCCTTAAAGCTACAAAAAAATCCTTTTTTCTTTTGTTCTTTGATGAACAGTCATCACAGCAGCTGGTTATTAGGTTATTTGGCTGCTATTACTTTAAGAGCTGCCGCTGCTGAACGTGACGCAGATCTGACACGCTTCGCATTTTCTCACAGTGTGCACCGCCGCATTTGTACAGCACGCGCTACGAGCACAGAATAGCGGCTGACAGGACAGGAAGATTCGTTTTACCATCACTATGTTTACAGCAAAACAAACAAAATAACTTGTTGCATCAAAGTAACTATGCGAGGCTCCATTTGCATCCGTTACTCCCACACCACTCTTAGCAGCTCCTCACCTGCCGTAGTATGTTCTCCAGTCACAGGCGATAGAAATGAGCTGCAAAAGGAGCTGCACACAGGACAGTTTGTGGAAGAACTCGGCAGGCTCCCAGTACAAACGCGCCGGTCCGAACTCGATCAGGAACTCCACCATTTCTACCACCTGCTCATGGGTGTAAGAGCAAGCCTACGAACATTTACAAAGGAAAAAAAAACTTCAACACAATATACAAGCATTCCCAGAGACCAAATTTTTAGCGTACAAAGCAGGCCTTGCACAAACTGACAAGATTTCCAAGTTTAAGTTCTTTCCTAAATTCCTCAATTCATTGAAAAGTAACACGGGACATCACAGCGAGTACACATTATTACGCATTTACAATATTGTGTTACTCCCTAAAAATGTAACTAACTGCGTTACTTAGTTACTTTTTATGGAAAGTAATGCACTGTTACCTTATAGCGTTACTTTTTCTCATCAGTGCTGGGCTTGCTTGTTGGTTTTAATATAAAAAGTTCTAGGACAGGAAGATTCGTTTTACCATCACTATGTTTACAGCAAAACAAACAAAATAACTTGTTGCATCAAAGTAACTATGCGAGGCTCCATTTGCATCCGTTACTCCCACACCACTCTTAGCAGCTCCTCACCTGCCGTAGTATGTTCTCCAGTCACAGGCGATAGAAATGAGCTGCAAAAGGAGCTGCACACAGGACAGTTTGTGGAAGAACTCGGCAGGCTCCCAGTACAAACGCGCCGGTCCGAACTCGATCAGGAACTCCACCATTTCTACCACCTGCTCATGGGTGTAGGAGCAAGCCTACGAACATTTACAAAGGAAAAAAAAACTTCAACACAATATACAAGCATTCCCAGAGACCAAATTTTTTGCGTACAAAGCAGGCCTTGCACAAACTGACAAGATTTCCAAGTTTAAGTTCTTTCCTAAATTCCTCAATTCATTGAAAAGTAACACGGGACATCACAGCGAGTACACATTATTACGCATTTACAATATTGTGTTACTCCCTAAAAATGTAACTAACTGCGTTACTTAGTTACTTTTTATGGAAAGTAATGCACTGTTACCTTATAGCGTTACTTTTTCTCATCAGTGCTGGGCTTGCTTGTTGGTTTTAATATAAAAAGTTCTATTGTTGGCAAATGTAAAAGTGAAATTCACACCAAAAGTGAAATGAATAGGCCTCAGGCTGAAGGAAATGTAAATTCACGTCTGTACAGTAAAGGGTTTGCTTGAACCTTTCAGTTGTGCATTCCGAATTACATAAAGACAAGGACGCACTCAGGAGACGAAAGTTCAACACTCTTCAGCAATATAAAAGAAACAAATATTGTTCATCTAAAGTAAATTGTTCATTAGTATGGCTGCATTGGATCATCGAAGGTCAGGAGCAAAGACATGGGTTAATAAAATGGGATTTTTTTATTATTCCGTTATTTAACATTTAATTATTGCAGGTTTGTATCATATTCTGAGCTTGCCTTTAACTGTTTTTATTGATTGTGAGGAACACTGAATGTGTTTGTGTGCAGTGAGATGAGTAAACACATGTTGATATTTAGTCTAGATCTACAGTAAGATCATGTTCACACACAACGCTCTGCACTGACTCCTGATTTCTGTCACCGTGAGGACAGGACAGCTGTCAATATATAATGTGAAAACAAAATAACTGGCGTTACTTATTTGAAAAAGTCAGATATTTTCTTCTAAATTAAAAAGTAATGCGTCACTTTACTAGTTACTTAAAAATGTATATGTAAGTTATCGGATTACGTAACACACGGTACCCCAACACTGAAAACCACGAAGTACATTTCAGACAACAAACCATGCACAACATAATCAGGCACACAGTGATATGACTGTTGTAGTAAGGATCTAGCAGTGTAATGCATTACAGCAGTAGTGTGTTAAACAGATGTACCTTGTAATAAGGCTGCGGGTGAATCTGCGCTCCTCCCTCTGTACGCTGCAGCGACTGTTTGACCTGCTCGACTTTAATGGCCAGGTGAGCCTCAAAATACCTGCGCAGCGCCATGCAGGTATGTTTTGCAGTCTGTCTGCTTGAGAAGATCTCATCGTCGCTCAACAGCGCACCCTGGTCCTCTGGGTTCAAAATCTCCAGAGTGCTAATCTACAAAACACAAACACCCAGTGAGAAGAGAAGGACAGAGAGTAATAAACACTGACGAAACATACAGACTACAGCAGAGTTCAGGCAAACTCTGCATCCAATCAGTGTGTCCGTCTCAATACCAGTCTTGACCAGATTAGAATAACTATCCACATTTATCATCTATTACTCTTGTACGTGCAAATAAACCCAAACCTTTAACGACATTTTGGTAACGTCATACAACATAACTACAAGAGAGAGGGGAAAATATTCTGTCCTTCCAACACAATTTGCAAAATCTAAACCCACCAAATACCATTTAGAACAAAGGAAGAAACGTATAAGCCTTACACTACTAAATATAGAAAAATATGAATTCTAAATAATAATAATAATAATAAAAAGAGGATGCTTCAAATTGATCAAAAGTGATGATAAAGACATTTATAATGTTACAAAAGATTTCCATTTCAGATAAATGCTGTTCGTCTGAACTTTCTATTCAAAGAAACCTGAAAAAAAATACTACTCCGCTGTTTTCAACATAATAATAATAAATGGGGTTTTTTTAGCAGCAAATCAGCATATTAGAATGATTTCTGAAGGATCGTGTGACACTGAAGACTGGAGGAATGATGCTGAAAATACAGCTTTGAAATCCCATTTGAAAATATATTCAAATAGAAAGCAGTTATTTTAAATAGTAAAAACATTTCACAATATTACTGCTTTTGCAGTATTTTAGATCAAATAAATGCAGGCTTGGTGAGCAGAAGAGACTTCTTTAAAAATATACATATTACTGTTCAAAAACTTTTGACTGGTTGTGTATGTACAGAAATATGAACTTGGTAGCAAAGGACCCGCCTCCCCTCATATCATCACCACCCCCCAGTTTATCAATGACCACCAGCCCTTTTCCAGGCTGACCTTCATCTTTCACTACACCCGCTTCTCTTTAAAGGAACACTCCACCCAAAAATGAAAGTCCTGTCATCATTTACTCACCCTCATGTGCTTACAAACCTGTATGATAAACAACACTGGAGCCCATTGACTTGCAATGCATGTAGAAAAACTAAAACGGAGACATTTCTCAAAATAAGTTCCACTGAAGTAACAGTTTTTGGTGTCAAGTAACTGGTGTTTTTGGGTGGAGTATCTCTTTTTGTTGTTTTGTCGTTCTAATTCAAGAAAACGGCTTCATCAGATTGACAGCACTTGTGCTGCAAATACTCACAACACCAACAAATGAAGAAACGTGAAAGTAGCACAGGCCACAACAAAATTATCCCAACAAAACGAAAATTAACCCCCTTTTATTTTTTTGCCATATTGATTACCATTTGTATGATCACAGTTCTACAAATACCATGGTTAAACTATGGTTAGTGTAGTAAATCCATGGTTAATTTATGCATGGTTACCATGGTTTAACTATAGCAACCTTTTTTTTTTTTTATGCATTTATTAATTAATCAATACATTTTAATAGCAAAACCACAGGCTATGGTCAATTTTTATACGGGAAGTTGTAAAAGTTCGCCAGCTTACATAATCTTTCACAGGTACAGCAATTGTGTATTTTGACAGCTTATTTAGGCTTACAATATCCAAAAAGCAGCAGCTATAAGGATTCATATGAGCAGGAAGTTGAATTAAAAAGCTCACCTTTCAGAGCAAACATTGATAAATATGTCCCAGCCATGTTCATCACTTTGCAGTTCCCTAAAACATTTCCGAGGTGGTCTGTGGCTTATTTGCAGCATGTTTCTGTTTGTGTTGCATGTATTTGCAGCACGCTGAGCTCTCTCACCGTAATGATCCCTATGCAAACACAAAGAAGTGCATACCAGGTTGACGAGCCGCCGCAGCCCGTCCTGATGGTCGAAGAGCTCGAGCACGGCTCTGAAGGAGAAACAGATGGAGAAGAACATGGTGGCGTGGCAGCAGCCGGAGGCGTGAGAGCACTCCAGGAGCCACAGCGTGTAGCTCACCACCTCCGACAGCAGCGAATGCGGCAGCATACACACCTGACACAGCCGGAGGAACCAGACAGACAACAGTAAGACACAGAAGAGCTCTGGCTGTGATCACCGTATCAGCACAGCATCTTACCCTCTCCATAGCATCCTGGTTGTATGCCAGGTAATAGAGGCACAGAGAGACGCCGGTGGCAGCCATGGAGGGTCGCGGGATCTCCAGTAGCTTTGGCACTCCGCCATGCGCAACAAACTCGGCCGCAAACTTTTTATGAAGGAGGAGAGACGCAAGATACTGAAAGACAGAGAGGACAAGTAAATGGATACCCAAGAACAGAATAAAAATCAGTCAAATAATCATGGGGTCATCAAGATGTGTGGTGTGAGCATCCTTTGTGTTTAAAGCAGCTTCTGCCCTCGGTGCACTTGAGCAGAGTTTCTCAGGAGCTTTCAGACGGTATGTTTGGTGCAAGTCTGAAGATCTTTATTAATATACCAGTCAAAAGTTGAGGACAAAACTACTCATTCTTTAGCATGAATATATTCCACATTTTACGTTTACATTTAGTCATTCAGCAGACGCTTTTATCCAAATGAGGACAATAGAAGCAATCAAAACTAACAAAAGAGCAATGATATGCAAGTGCTATAACAAGTCTCAGTTAGCTTAACGCAGTACACTAGGGTTTTTATAGAAAAAAAAGAATAGGGAACGCTAGTGTTAGAGGGTGATTTTTTTATAATAAAGAGATCAAATGGAGTTAGAATAGAGAGTGCTAGAGTTAGAGGGTCTAAAGGCTATTTTTATGGCAAAACTGAGCTTAAAATATAATGCTTACAGCACCTTAACTAAAAGGTGTTTTAACTTTAATTTTTACGCATAAATCTTTTCGTGATCACGAGAAACATTCAGTCAGGCATGTCCAAACTTTTGAGCTGCAGTGCATGTGACATCCTTCAGGTACCTTCAGGGCTTCAAACGTGAGCTGAACGTCGTTTGTTTGTTTCAGGTCCATGTAGTGCATCAGCAGCTCACGAGCTCCGAGCTGCATGAAAACAGCCAACAACTGCACACACAAACACAGGAATCAAACTCGTTAAGCTCATCAAGCTCAGTTCTGCTATTGATTGTTTTTCACACATCCTAATATAATAAAATAGGACATTTGCACAGGTGTAAAAACAAAGAAATCGTAATGACATGAAAAAAAACAGAAGGGAGAGTGACCAGTAACGTTCTCTTGAAAGATGCACCATGGTCTACAAACACGATTTTATTCCTGCACTGAAAGAGGTGCAAAACATTACACTGAATATTTAAAGACCGCTTAAGAAGTGGAACTACTCGGGGAAGAAACACCACGGAGTCAGAATAAAGTGTGTTTGAACGCAAACTCAGATTCTGTTCACAGCTTAGCTTAGTTTTTGTTGGTGATAAAACTAATGTTTGGAAAATATGTTTGCAGATTCTAAAACTTTTTCAGTATTCATTACTTCCTAGGTATATTCGGTAGATATACTGAATCTTTAGACTTGAAGTTGACAAATGCCTGTCCCCTAAAGCTGGGTGATGTGGGGGGTGTTGGGGCCATCATTACTCCCATTACATGATCACTGACAGTAATGCGTGTGTTTTAATATACAAACAAAGTTTAACTGGCTTTATAAATGCCAATTTATTTATTTTTTAATTTGGTATTTTCTTTTCTTATGACCAGTATGAGAGACGATATCACTGAAAAAACTGACTTCACCGAGTAGGCTTGTCATGGTAACACTGTTATAACTTAGTACGAGGGACGATTTCTAAGGTCTCTAAATGATCAAGCCTTGCTGGAAAACCGGTCACAAACAATCTACTACATGCCTTCTGTCGTCTGACTGATGGTTTAGACTTTTTTGTATTGTGCTTTCGGTTTTAGTTTGTTTAACATGTAATGTGCCCAAAACAAATATATTTTAAAACCTTTTATTTTGCCCAGAAGACCTATCGTTTCATTTGGTCATGTGACCATGATTATATGTCTTCCTACATATAAAGTTGAAATCACCTCCTGGTATTCTCCCAGCGGGGTGAGGTACTGGAGGATGAGGCGCTGCTCTATTCCAGGTGTGAGCGGGCACAGGTGGTAGTTATTTCCGATCACCCACGGGCTCATCTCAGTCCAGCTGCTGTTGGACAGCTCACTGAAGCTGCGCTCCGGCTCTGGCTGCGAGAAGTTCAGCTTCTGCTTTACTTTGCCACCGTTCTCCTTCTTCCTCCAGTTCCTCATGACTTCACCTGGGCTGTCCGTTTCGTCCAGCTCTAAAGGGAGTGCTGCAGCGGGCTTCATCAGGCCCTTCATGCCTGTGTTACCTCTCCCCACGCTCCTCGCAGCAGACACGGGCTGCAGCTCAGCGTCCGAGTCGGTTCTTCTCGAGTCGTGATTCTCGGAGTTAGGAGCGTTAGGAGCGAACTCTCCATCCACGGCCTCCTCGTCCAGGGGCAGCAGTGGAGCGAGACTCTTGCTTGGACGCTTACTGTCCTTCCTGTTCTCTGCCTCCTTTTCCTGAAGCTCCCTCAGCCTCTGCAGCATCAAAGGAACCTGCAACACAAACACTGATTTTTGAGCTTCCGTTCAATTATATGGACACTAAATAGCACTAATAGCATCAGTTCAAACATCAAAAAAATTCTTAGCTTCTTAGCGAAGACTGTATTCCGCCCACAAACAGCATGTTTATATTTACACTTATCAAACCATCATTAACCGTAGCTAGGGATATCGTTCTATTCAATGTCACTATCTAAGGCTACCATCTATTTAGTGCACTCATCCCTGGAAAACTTGATGGTGACAGGTCAAAAGTTTTTAAATAATGAGGTCTCATCAGCATAACATTTTCTACATCGCTGTGCTAATTTAGCTTCTTTCACATCACTGCACTCAGGCTTTCCTCTCATGCAATATGAAGTTGCATCGGTAACAAACGTAAATATAAATGTATTATGCGTCTTCATATATTACAATGATCAAAAGCAAAAACTGTAGACATCCGTATCAAATCCAATTTCTTTAATTTTGCCTTACAATAAATACTTTTTCATCTTTATATTCACTACATACTCTTAATTTCTACATACAAAGCCATACAGCTTTAAATAAAAAAATAATAATTGCGTTAATGCCACTCATTTAGCTAAGACTAGATGTATAATATCACGATTTTATCACGATACTGTGTCATGTGGGTTTTACTATTACTATAAGGTTTTACTATAAAAACAAAGCAACAAAATATACCATTTAAAAAAATGGCAAGTGGGAGAAGATAATCTTTGTTATTATTTTACCTTTGCAACTGAAAAATATGAACAAAGATACACATTACAAGTACACATAATATACAAATAAATCAAACAGTGCTTTATTTTTCTGATACAGAAGGTGTTTAGCCAAGTGCATTCAAAACATTGAATGAACAAATATAAAACATACATACATACCAAGTGGGAGAAGATAATCTTTGTTATTATTTTACCTTTGCAACTGAAAAATATGAACAAAGATACACATTACAAGTACACATAATATACAAATAAATCAAACAGTGCTTTATTTTTCTGATACAGAAGGTGTTTAGCAAGTGCATTCAAAACATTGAATGAACAAATATAAAACATACATATATATATATATATATATATACACACACACACACACACACACACACACGTCACTGTATAAATTATACATTGATTCACATTAAAGCAACTGTATGGTCATGAGCAGCGAGTGGTTTTACTTTGTGTTTTGCCGTTTTATTAAGATTAAGCGGATAGTTCACACAAAAATGGTAATTTGTCTGTCAAATCTGTCATAGTGTTTTTATACTATCATACTCACTCTCAAGTTGATTTTAACCTGAAAGAGTTTCTTTATTCTGCTGAAAATAAATGTTGTTTTGAAGAAGGTGGGTGACCAAACACACTTCCATAGGATTTTTTCCCTACTATCAAAATCAAAAAGTGGACCTGCTATTGCTTGGTTACACTAGGGATGTAACAATATCAAAATCTCACGATACGATATTTATTGTGATATGAAGTCTACAATACGATATTTAAAAAGAAAAAAGACAAATGAAGTTTGTCTGGAGAACTGGGAACAAAATTTAAATAGTATAATTTAACCTTAAAATGAACAATCTAGTGCACTTTGAGAGTTCAAAATTAAGAGCTCCGACCCTTATTCTTAACTAAGAAAACTAAAATCAGAAAGAAGTCAGTGAATTGACTTGTAGCTGAACTTTAAAGGCGACCCTCTTTTTATTTGTGATCTACGGTCTCAGTCTAAATTACATCCACACTGGGGTTTTAGGAAGCCAAGCAAATTAGAATAAAATAATAACAACGACAGTAATAGCCACATATTGTAAAACAGTTGCACTGTAAAATAAATGAAAATTAATATTTCATAGGTCTGATCGCCTGAGTGAACAATGTGTGCGCTTCGCTTTGAAACACGCAAAAAAAACAGACTTGATGTAAACCAACTACATGTAAACTTTGTGTTTCGACAGTATAACTTTTAATAAAATTAATTTAGTCCAACACCGTTTTTTAGTGTGCACGCTTCATGTGTTGGCGCTCAGAAAAAGCGCATGTCAGAACAGCATGCGAATGAAATGTTTAATGAAATGAATGAAATGTGCAATGTCTTGTTGTGCTAATATCTTAGGGACTCCTAAAGTTTTGATATTCTTCATATTCTGTGTACTGGTCAATTCACAGCAGTGATAGAAATTAATCTTTTTCAACTAGTTTAAATGTATTTTTACCTTTTATGGGCATTTAAAGCAATTTTTGTGCATCATCTTTTGAGTCAAATGCTTACATTTAATTAGTTAATTAGGATAATAATAATAATAAGAAGAAAAAGAAAATGATGATGATATTTTGGCTGTTTCCCAAACAAATGAAATCAGTATCAACAAAATTAATCTTTGCAATGCAGACAAAACACAGAAGTTGCATCTGAAGTCTAATATCTTAGGGACTCCTAAAGTTTTGATATTCTTCATATTCTGTGTACTGGTCAATTCACAGCAGTGATAGAAATTAATCTTTTTCAACTAGTTTAAATGTATTTTTACCTTTTATGGGCATTTAAAGCAATTTTTGTGCATCATCTTTTGAGTCAAATGCTTACATTTAATTAGTTAATTAGGATAATAATAATAAGAAGAAGAAAAAGAAAATGATGATGATATTTTGGCTGTTTCCCAAACAAATGAAATCAGTATCAACAAAATTAATCTTTGCAATGCAGACAAAACACAGAAGTTGCATCTGAAGCGGCATTTAGATGCATTTACATACCGTTTAATGTAGCTCATTTAGAATCTCAGTTACAAATGCATAAATAATGTTTTGATATTTTAAACAAAATATTGAATACTGATATTTGAAATTATTTTTAAAAAATGAAGATATACTTTAAATGTGAAATTAAAACCGCCAGCAGGTGGCAGCAATTCACTTTCAATAAGCAAGTCACTGCGATTGAACCGAATCATTTAAACGCTTGATTCATTCAGGAACAAAACACTGTCTAAAATGTAAATCTCTAATTATGAACTTCTTGTTTATTAAACCGTATAAAATAAATACCACATTTTTTAAATCATGTTGATTTTTGGAGAAAAGAAACGGCACTCTTTGTGTGATACTGATTAACTAATATATATATATATATATATATACACACACATATACACACACACACATTTTCTGCCCCCATATCTTGAATTTTGTGATCATTCTAAGTGTATTTTAATAGACTGAATCATGCAGCGAAAGAGCACTCTCTAAATGCGTACGCACACTAGTCTAACCTTCTAGACTATTAGTTAAAACAACAATTATGATATGATCACAGACGATATATATCGCACACCCCTAAGCACGATACTTCTTCAAAAGCAGAAAATCGTCATATCACACACCCCTAGCTAAGACTCAGGGCTGTCACAGATCTAATGCACACGTGTCATGGGGCGATTTATTCCAGCGTATAGAAGTGCACTGCTCCTGAACTCACCAGTACAGAGTTTTCCTCGCGATAGTTGGCGGCGATGTCCTGGTTCTCCATGGCTCCTGCCAGCAGGCCTGTGGCGTAGATTCGGAGGGGCTGCTCTGCCTCCTGAGCCCATTTAAACAATCGCTCCACAATCCCCTCCTGCCATGGACACACACACACACACAGCTGTGAGGCTACATAACCCCTGATCTGATTCTGATGGATAAATACAAGGCTCAAAGTACCTTCTCTTGAAAGACCACAGCCGTCTCAAGGCCAGGCATGATGTTCAGCAGCAGTCTGCATGCAGCCGTGTTCAGCGCCACCTCACGGCTACTCATCACGTATGAGTTCACTAGCTATTAAAGCACAGAAATAAACCAAACACTCAAGATCAGCCAAACACTGCATCAAAATATATTTGTAGGGCCAGGCAACAGGATGACATATATCACGTGACAATAAGAATGAATCAATCCAATATCATATCGAGGTAATTAAATGTCTGTGCAGGATTCTGCGTGCAGGACAGTGTAGTTATTGGCATTTAGAAGGGATAAAGAAATGCACAAGTACTGAGTTCTCTTTCATGGCTTATCGCTCTTGGAACGATCACACACACACACTAAAACATCTGTCTGGGTGAGTATTCATGTAAACACAGTCAGTTATGTCTTCAGCGGTTGTAAACAGATCTGTACAAATGTAGGAGCTCAGATTTGGTCTTAAAGTGACAGCAGCCTAATATACCTACTGTCGGTGTCAATATTAAAATTGTAATAATTAAAACTGGTGACTGCAGAGAGACTTTAAGCAGCCCTTCACATATAGACAAGACACAAAAATATCTACTTATAGACACTTTATATAAAGCGCCACAGCACCCAGAAGAAATATGATTCAAACTAAATAGAACAAGACCATAACAGTTATTTTAGTCTTTTATTTATTTATTAGTCCAGCATGACTTAATGTTTGGCATCGATACTTTATTTTCCAAACGGTCTGTTAACTTAAGACATAACCAATTCTTTACATGTGCACTCACAAAGACTGGCATTTGGACACTTATAATAACAATAATATTTATTATAATAACAATATTCACATAAAATGGATAAAGTGTGTAACGTGCAAGTGTTGAGCTGTGCATGGTTAACCACCGAGCTGGAGTGTACGTGCATCTCCACCCCGACTCCTCCCCGAAATAGCCATTTATGGAGCTTACAACACCTAGTTTTAATATGCATAACGTCATCTGCATATCATTCCCATGCATATTCCCATCCATGTGACACCATGTTTAATGCAGTTAAGGGTAGCCTACAACACATTAGGAAAATATGATATTCGGACTATAATTGCGTTTTGAGACATCACTATTCTAATATATGCAATTTGCCTAAAAGTTAAACATGTATTTTAGAATGTTTATAGCCTATATTTTAATGGAAAGAGATTATTTTTTTGCAGTGTAGCTGTCTGACTCACCGCGTCAACAACAAAACATTTTCCTTTAAATACTCTCTTGTAAATATGGTGTCTGTCACAATATTGGGAAGAGCGCCAAAGGGGTTATCATTAGGCTGCTGTCTGTGCGCGACACCTGTGAGCAGTTCATCATCGGACCTGTTCAACCCAGCCAATGGACCGTTTGATCAGCGAGCGCATGCTTCTGTCTGTCGTTACCGTCTGTGTTCCGAACCCATCAGACGAATCACGTTCACATCAATGATCATTATTCGTGCAAAAGTATTTTCTCAGAACATGAGTTTTGCTATTTAGAACACAATTTAAAGCAGAATTGTCATACGCCAAGCAATCCTCACTGTGATTAAAACATTAGGAAAATTGTTCGAAAGCAGCACATCCACTGCAAAAATTTCTGTTTCAATTCATATACAAATGTTGTAATATCTGGATAATAATTTCATGGTATTTCAGTGCTTAACTTGAATATGACACTCTGAATAATGAATCTAAACGTGCATGTCAAACAGACTTTAAAATCAATCTGTTTGCTTCCTTATTTCGCTCACTCCAGTAAAAGAGTGCGTATGTCTAGTTTGTGTTTTATAAATCCCAATATGTGCATGGAAAATTGCGTATGCACATTTCCATGCCCATTTTGTGCATATGCAGCGTTTATACATCAGGCCCCAGGTGTCCTTTAGCGAGATGTATTTAAGGTCTGGTGGCAAGTCTAACGCAGTGTTGTACAGTAACTGTTGATGTGAGGTCAGGTGACACTGCACAGGCTCGTCTACAGTAACTGATGTGGGGTCAGGTGATACGGTGCAGTAACAGTGAGTGCAGCATTTCTCACTTGGTCAGTATGTTGAGCAGTTCACTTGTGCCTCCCTGCTGTTCTCTCTCCCACTGCTCCAGCAGAGTGCTCAGCTCCGCTTTAGAGTCCACGCTGCCATCCCCGGCAGACGCCATCAGCCTACACACACACACACACACACACACACACACATCAGGCCCCAGGTGTCCTTTAGCGAGATGTATTTAAGGTCTGGTGGCAAGTCTAACGCAGTGTTGTACAGTAACTGTTGATGTGAGGTCAGGTGACACTGCACAGGCTCGTCTACAGTAACTGATGTGGGGTCAGGTGATACGGGGCAGTAACAGTCAGTGCAGCATTTCTCACTTGGTCAGTATGTTGAGCAGTTCGCTTGTGCCTCCCTGCTGTTCTCTCTCCCACTGCTCCAGCAGAGTGCTCAGCTCCGCTTTAGAGTCCACGCTGCCATGACGCCATGACGCCATCAGCCTACACACACACACACACACACACACACACACACACACACACACACACACACACACACACACACACACAGAGACACAGAGACACACACACAGAGACACAGACACACAGAGACACACACACACAGAGACACAGACAGAGACACAGACAGACACACACACACACACACAGACACACAGAGAGAGAGAGAGACATGAAGACCACCTCAGGGCTTCTCACAGA